GCCAGGGCTTGGCTGCGGGAGCTCCGCGTGGCCCCCGCTCCCCTGGGGCCTCACCCGCTGGCCAGGCCAAGGCGCCGCCACCGCTTGGGCTAGAGGCCCAGGGCCTGAGTGCCGCGGCCCGGCCTCGGACCCGGGGCTGATGACAGTTCCCGCCCCGGTTCCGCTGCCCGGGGTCCCCGGAGAGCGCCTGCTGGGCAGACTCTCGCCCGCTGAGTAGGACGGAGAGCACCCGACTCTCGGCGGTCCAGCTCCTCATGTGTGTAGATGGGGAACCTGAGGGTCCCGACCGCGGTACCTCCGTGAGGTTGTGGCAGCTTTGCTCCGCCTTTCTTCCGGAGCCGGGAAGTTCTGTGGGCTTCAGGGTCGGCTCCAGAGAGTTTTCTATCTGCGAAACAGGCGCCGGTTGAGGATCCGGGAATACCGTGAGCCTTAAGCCGCAACAAACCTGGGTTTTCCCGGCGGCCAGAGATAAGTACCCTGGACGTTGTGCGTTAACTGGACTTGCAGTAATTTCAAAAACTTTTGTTTTTAATTAACATCCTAGAGTGGTGTCAATGCAGGAAATACTTCAGGCCAAGGCCGGTTTCCAGGTTGAGAGGGCAGGCAGCGGTTGATGGGGTGTGGAAACCATTCCCACTTTGCGCCATCTGAGAGCTCAGGATGGTGTGCTCAGAGCCCAGGGCAACCTTTTCCCGTATACCCCAAGCCCCGAGAAAGCTGACTGACACTGCTTGGTTTTCAGGTTTTGCTTTTTTCGTTTTGTTTCGTTTTTGCCAACCTGGTCTTTTCCTTCAACAGGCATTTATTACTGCCTACTCATGTGCCTGGCACTGTGCTTGGCATCAAGGGCACAGAGTCTGTAATCAAGACACCATCTAGAGGGGAGGACCGGCAGGAAAACAGTGACAGTCCTGTGTGATATGTGCTATGAAAGGAGATAAATATGGCAGCGGGTTGTGGGGGACACCACCTCCACTGGGGGATCACAATAGGCTCTCTGGAGAAGGTAGATTGGAGCTGAGTCTTGCATGCGAGTAGAAAGGGTGTGTGTGGGGTAGTCTAGTGAGAGGGAACAGAAGTCTGGAAGTGGAGTGGTTCATCCTAGGGGCTCCTGAGGAGTTTAGCTGATGAGGAGTGGGGTGGGCTGGTGGGAGATGAAGCTAAAGGAGGGCCGACGCCAGATCTCGAAGGGCTTAGGGCTTGGTACCAGGAGCTTGCTGTGCTCTTTTGCAGATGTGGATGAGTGCGCCCAAGGGCTAGATGACTGCCACACCAACGCCCTCTGTCAGAATACACTCACCTCCTACAAGTGCTCCTGCAAGCCTGGCTACCAAGGGGAGGGCAGGCAGTGTGAGGGTAAGTGACTTGGGGACCGGTGGTAAGTGGGCCAGCAGGTGAAGCTCCCCACCCCCTCAGCTCTTGTAGTGGCCACTCATGCTGGTAAAAGTGCCCCTCCACTGCCCCCCACGTCATACCACCCACCTTCTGAAATACATTTCAGACCCTTAGAGCACTAGGAACATTATAATGGTCTTCCCTAGAGCTGATCATATAGTTTTATGTGGTTCCAAAATGTCCTTTTGTCTAGCTTGTGTAAAGGAAAAGAGGTGCTTTAGTATTTTTGGTCCCACTCAGTTTGGGGGCAGAAAGTCAACAGTCATATGGATCAGGAGAGCCACGCCTGCCAGAGAAGGGCTGATCCTTCACCTCTCTGGGGCAGTTTACACCCGTGCCCTGGAGTCCAAGGGCAGGAGTCCTGCCCTCCACTGCTGGCTCTGGAGGGTCCATCTTGTTCATGGCTTTGGGCTGTTTGGCGTTGTGACCTCCCAAGCTTTAGAGCTGTACCAAGGGCCTGCCTCATTTGGAGCTGCATGCTCACCCTGGAAAGGTGTGCAAAGGGATATTTTAAGCCCTTAGAGTTCTAGATCTTTGAGCCTAAAGTCTGGACTCTGCCATCTTGTGTTCTGGGCCAGTGTCATGAACTCTGAAATATAGAACTGGCCAGAGACTGGGCACTCCTAGTAGGAGGCTATTCCTGGGGATGGAATCATGGCATGTTGGAGCTGGCAGGGCTCTTCTCTTTCAGGGAGCTCTGAGGCATTCCCATCCCTCAGATGTAAGACACTGAGGCCCCGGGGGAATTGGGAAGGGGACTTGTGGCCATAATCACACAGCTAACCAACAGGTTGAAGAAAGTCAGATGTCTACCCTAGCTCTGTCCCTGGACCCTTATCTCTTGGATTCACTCAGCCTCCTGGTGTCCTTCTTTGGTGGGTGAGAAATCCTGATATTTATATTTTCCTTTGTGCGTGAGGAGCAAAACTTGTTTCTCCTATCAGAGGAGACATACTCCTGGTCAGGTTCATAGCAAATGGGGTTGGTAGTCCATCCTTAAAACCCTCGTGTTTCTCTAAGATCATGTTCTCCCAGAGACAGGCAGCCATCTCTCTCTGTCTTACATCATGGGAGGCCAAAAGGCTACCTCTCCCTGAAACATCTCTCTGCCGATTCCTCTGTACCACATCCTCACTACTTACAGAACGGGAACTCACACATGTTCATACCCTGCTTGGGGAAAAAATGTTTACTTTTTCACTGGTTTTCTGTATAGTCTCTGGGAGTGGGGGAGGGGGCAGAAACTGTGCCATGGTTTCTTTGAGATAGAGTACATATTTAGCAAATGATATAGAATGACAGGTGGCAAGAATTTCTTTATTCTTAGCTGTTGGGCTTGACATATGACACATGAAACTGAATTGCTGACAGTTTATCCTTGAAAAGTCTACTATTTAGGGGTGCCTGGGTGGCTCAGTCGTTGGGCATCTGCCTTCGGCTCACGTCATGATCCCAGGGTCCGGGGATCGAGCCCCTCATTGGGCTCCCTGCTCCGCGGGAAGCCTGCTTCTCCCTCTCCCACTCCCCCTGCTTGTGTTCCCTCTCTCGCTGTGTCTCTCTCTGTCAAATAAGTAAATAAAATCTTTAAAAAAAAAAAAAGAAAAGTCTACTATTTAGTTTAAAATAACTAATGAATGACTGGAGTTGTTGCTTTTATATATTTAAATTGGCTTTAAAATAATAATATATATTGTTATTATAAAAAGTCAAACAATACAGAAAATGTATGAAATAGAAAATCGAAGACCCTCTTACTCCTTTATCCACAGGTAATCACTGTTAACAGGGAGCATATATTCCTTGTAGTGTCATTGAAAACTAAAACTCCAGAGGGATATGATCTTTTACATACTTGTAATACTTTTGAATACCTATAAAACTAGTGAGTAAGGATGTCCCTGTTTAGTTCGGATTTCTTGGTGCCAGAGTCGAGAAGCAGAAACATTCTTCCAAGAAGGAAAAGGAAAGAAAATGAAGATTGCAAGGATTCAAAGATGTAGATATTTGAAGATGTGACTCTTTTATGTGTATTCCTTGGCTTACTGGTTTAAACCTCTCGGGTCTAACCCCTGGTGTCGTTTCTGTTGTGTTTATCGTCAGCTTCGCTGCTGCTGTTTAAGTATAAGGATGGGAACTGGGTTTGCCCAGAGTGACCAGAATTTTATCCTCTATAGTTTCTTCTGCCAAATTATTGGAGAAATGAGAATATGGGCCCTGAATAAGTATTTTGAAAATAATATGATTCCAAAGTGGCTTTGAAGAAATGAAGTTTCATTCTAAATGATCTTTGTTTATATCCCAGACTTTGGGGATGGGGCATTTCAGTGGTCAGTGTTCATTGTATGGTTCTTACTTCTCAGTCTAGGGAACTGAATCAAATTTAACAAGGATGAATCTAAACGTGGCCTTTGTATTGAGGAGCTGTGTGTTTTTGTTTTTAAGATTTTATTATTTATTTGACAGAGAGAGACACAGAGAGAGAGGGAACACAAGCAGGGGGAGTGGGAGAGGGAGAAGCAGACTTCCTGCCAAGCAGGGAGCCCGATGCGGGGCTCGATCCCAGGACCCTGGGATCATGACCTGAGCCGAAGGCATATGCTCAACGACTAGCCACCCAGGTGCCCCGAGGAGCTGTGTTTAAAAAAAAAAATTTATTTTGGAATGATTTTAAATTTCATGAAAGTTGCAAAAATAGTGCAGAATTCACATATGCCCTTCGCTTATCTAACCCTGATGTTAACAGCTTATATAACCACAGTACAATATCAAAACCAGGAAATTAACGTTGGCACAATACTTCTAACTAAACTAGAAACCTTAGTCAGATTTCACCAGTTTTTTCTTAATGTTCTCCCCCACCAAGGCCATTCCAATTCAGAGTCCCACATTATGTTTAGTTGTTGTGTCTCCTTTGTCTCCTCCAATCTTGACAGTTCCTGTCTTTCCTAGTTTTTCATGACTTCGACACTTTGGGTAAGTACTGCTCAGTTCTTTTGTTTACCTTGTTTTCTCATGTTAAGAATTGATACGGTAGAAATTGACCCAGTAAGAGAATGTCCCTTGTTTTCTCACAATAAAATTAAGATTATGCATTGTAGTAATACAAAAAGTAAAGCTTTTGGCAGTACTGCTACGGAAATGCTCTTGTGTGCTTTTTGGCACATCCCATGGTGGGGGGGGATTGGAGGGTGAGGCACATGACATTAATATGTGCCATTACTAGTGATCACGTGGTTAAGATGATACACCCTGGGTTTCTCCACTGCAAAGTTACTATTTCTTCCTTTTGTAATAAACACACATCTTAGGGCAGATACTTTCAGTCTATGCTAATATCCTGTTTCTTCTCACGTCTTTGCCCACTGATTTTAGCATCCAGCTGTGGATCTTGCCTGCAACAGTTATAACTATGATGTAATAACTGGTAATTTTGTTTTTCCCTCATTCCTTATATGTCTGTTGACTGAGATTCTTCTGTAAGGAAGATCTTTTTCTTCTCCCTTGTTTATTTATGCATTGATTTATGTATTTATGCCAGTATGGACTCATGGGTATTTAATTATTTGTATAGTAATTTATTTTGGGCTCAGATTATTCCAGCTTTAGCCATTGGGAGCTCCTTCACATTGTTTCCTGTGTCCTTTTGACATGCTCTCATCCTTTTTTGAGAAATTTCTAGTTTTCTAGTACCATAAGATACCACAGACTCATCTTGTATTTTCCCTTCCCCAGCCCTGGAACCAGGTACTTCTCCAAGGAGCCCTGGTTCCTTTTATTGGGAAATGGTACATAGAAACCAAGATCTGGATGCTTGGTGTTCTCATTGTTACTGGGATGTCATTGCTCCTAGGCTTTCTCCGTGCACAAACCTAGGAAATATATGTATGTATCCTAACCCACACATATACATTTATCTATATTTATTCCTTCTATATATATCCATTCACAAATATATTAAAAACAATGACTTACACTGATGCTTTGGATTCCAAAGCAATGCCCCAAGTTTTACTCAGTCTCCCTCTTTGCTTATTTGTAACTTCTTTCTCCAACAGTGAGAAAGGTGGCTCTCATTATCTGCAATATAGTTAGTTACCTGTTTATTCAATCCAAGTATACACATAAATAATTTATAAAGCTATTCCATAGCCTTGCAAGTAAAACAGATTTACTAATTAGAGTGTAGTATCTGTATACAGCTCTTTTTATTTTTAGCCTTAGAACATTCAGTCAAGGTGTTTTTCAAAGCGACTTGGCTAGTACTTTTCTTCTTCATTTCCTTCAGTGTGGTTGTTATTCATTTGTTATACAGCTAAGTTCATTTGTTTCTCTTTGTATCCCATTTTTATCTGTTCCCTCCCCCCCACCTCTGTATACTGGTTGATTGTATGTATGTACATAAGTACGTAGGTATGTCCTTGTGTATGTATGTATTCATGAATATATCACTATGGTTCCGAGAGTCAAAACTATACAAAATGGCATACCCAGAGAAGTATTACTCCCTTTCCCCATTCCTGTTCTTCTGTTCCTCATTCCTCCTTTTCATCCTTTTCCCACATACCATGGATCACCGATCTCTCTAGTTTCTAGATAAACCTAGTTTATCCTCCCTGCTTCCTAGATTTCTTTTGCAAATAAATGTGTATTTTCTTTTCCTTTCTTTTCTCTTCTTTCTTTCTTTCTTTCGAGAGAACGAGAGAGAGAGAGAACAAGTGTGAGTGTGGGGGTGGGGAGGGCAGAGGGAGAGAGAGAGTCTTAAGCAGGCCCCATGCTCGGTGTGGAGCCTGACGCAGGACTCCATCTCAGGACCCTGAGATCATGACCTGAGTTGAAATCAAGAGTCAGACGCTTAACTGACTGAGCCACCCAAGCACCCTGATAAATGTGTATTTTCTTTTGAACTACTTTAGTGAATTCTAATTTATATACCATAGAATCCACCAATTCAGAGTAAGTCTACAAATCAATGATTTTGAGTAAATTAGCTGAGTTGTGCAACTATCACATAATATAGTTTTCAAACATTTTCCTCGTCTCAATAAGAGCCCGATTCCCAGCCCCAGCTCCGGGCAACCACTAGTCTACTTCCTGTCTCTACAGATTTGCATTTTCTGTGTATTTCATATAAATAGAATCATACAGTATGTGGTCTTTTGCTTTTGGCTTCCTTCACATAGCATGCTTTTGAGGTTCATCCATGTTGTAGCCTATACTGGCATTTTATTCCTTTTTATTGTTGACTAATATTCTATTGTATGGATATACCATATTTTGTTTATCCATCCACCAGTTGATGGATATGTGGGTTGTTTCTACTTTTGGGCTATCATAAATAATGTCACTGTGAACATTTACCTGCAAATCTTTGTGTGGACATAATTTTTCATTTCTTTTGGATATATACCTAGAAGTATAAAGAAATTTCTAGATTGCATGGGAAATTTGTTTAACCTTTTAAGAAACTGCTACATTGTTTCCAAAGTGGCTGTGCCATCTCACATTACTATCAGCAGTGTATGAGGGTTCCCATTTCTCCACATCCTCATCAACATTTGTTATTGTCTGTCTTTTTTATTCAAACTGTTCTAGTGAGTGTGAAATGGTGTCTCATTGTGGTTTTAATTTGAATTCCCATAATAATTAATGATGTTGACCACCTTTTCATATGCTTATTACCCATTTCTCTATCCTCTTTGGTGAAATGTCTATTCAAATTGTTTGCCCATTCTGAAATTGGGTTGTTTGTCTTATTATTGTTGTGAGAGTTCTTTGTAAGTCCTTTATGAGGTATGTGATTTGCAAATATCTCCCACCAATCTGTGGCTTGTCTTCATTTTATTTAATTATTTATTTATTTAAAAGATTTTATTTATTTATTTATTTGACACAGAGAGAG